GCCCTAGACACTTTGCTCTTTTCCGACAATCTGCCTCGCTTGTTTTATTGCTTCCACACTTTTTGTTTTCTAGCTCATTTGTTTGACATTCTCATTTTGATGGACTCTAGGGCTGTTGAGTGTTTCCTGGCAAGCTGATGCTTTTAACCATATCCTATTTCATTTTTGTAGCTTGGCTTCTTTATCCCTAACCCTAGCATCTCTCTTGCCATTTCTAGATAATGAAAAAGAAATTGCACATCATTTTCAAAATATCATAAACCTCATTCATTTCAAAGATAAAGCTGTGAGTTTTTGTTTTTTCTGCTACAGAGAAAGGTAGATTATATTATTTAAGTGAGAGGAAAATATGACACAACATTAGTCAAAAACAGACATTTATTAAGTGTCTGCTTGCAGATCAGATGAATTTGAAGTGAGAGGAATATTGTGATTACACAAGAGTATATCTACACCTGGCCAAATTTTCTTCAGTGTTTATAATACTCTATATCTTTATTTCAAGAATGTTTAATGATTTTTATCCACCATTGTCATGGAGATAGTACACAGATTAAATCATAGTAAGTCAAAGGCACAGTGGCCTTTTTTCCCCATCTAAAAGATGAATCTGGTATAGAGAGAAGACATTCTTTTAGAATGAGGTTTTTGGACAAATCTGTGTGTTCTGACACAGATTCCTTTAAGTGCATAAAGGTTTTCCTAGGAATTATTTAAATTATTCATGAAAATATTTCATGTGATGATAGGAGGTAGTTACCATGGTAGAGGGTAGGAAAGGTGATACCAAAACTAATTCCTAAATTCTGTTGTTAAATATTAAAGACATATCACCTCAGTAATAAAACTGTCTCAATAGGATTTAGTAAAATGTGCATTATGTATATATTGTGAGATAAACTTTGTCTCTTTTGGTGATATGTGTATATTGTAAGATACTCTATGAAGCATAACAGGAAATCTAGAAACTGTGGGTAGTTGGGTTTGATGTCCTTACCCCCATACAACTTCATTAATTGATAATTAAGCAGATGCTTTGAGTCACTTGTGGAAAGAAGTGTTGACTTCGAAGAGGTCAGTTCATCTTATTCTGATTTTTGATCGGGAGCTGATGGGAATTTATGGTGATGCCTTCAATATAATGCATATTAGTGAGAGGTTTGAGAGTTTGTTATGATGTCAGTCTGGATTAACTGAATTGAAAAGTCAAAATATTCAAGTATAGGGTAGAGGAGAAAGACCTAGGGGAATTTTGAATCAGATGTAACATGGGGTTACCATAAATGTGCTAATAAAATCTTGTATTTAGTTGCTCAGTCGTGTCCGATTCTGCTACCCCAAGGACTGTAGCCTGCTAGGCTCCTTTGTCCATGGGGATTCTCCAGGCAAGAATACTGGAGTGGGTTGCCATGCCCTCCTCCAGGAGATCTTCCTAACCCAGGGATCGTACTCAGCTCTCCTGCATTGCAGGAGGATTCTTTACAGTCTAAGCCACCAGGGAATGTGTTGTAGGAGACTGGAGAAATAATAATATCACTCCTATATTCTTCATTTGCCAGCTCAATCCAAATAGCTGTATTCAGTTTTGGAGCTGTTCATGTTATGGGAAACCCTGACAAGCTAGAGAAGGTCCAGAGGAGAAATAGGATCTTCCAGGTTTCTGAAATCAATTCATATCATCAAAAAGCAATGGTATAACAGACCCCAGAAGGCAGAAGTAACATCTTAGCCATGTTCAGATTTTGGTGGACCTTTCATGATGAAGGGAGATTCCCAGATGGCGCCAGTGGTAAAGAATCCACCTGCCAATGCAGGAGACACAAGATTCATGGGTTCAGTCCCTGGATCAGGAAGATCCCCTGGAGTAGGAAGTGACAACCTATTCCAGTATTCTTGCCTGGAGAATCCCTTGGAAGGAGGAGCCTGGCGGGCTAGAATCCATGGGGTCGCAAAGAGTCAGACTCGTTTGAACAACTAACCCTTTCACTTTCAACATATTTCAGCCCAGTGCTTACAAACTCCCCTGAAATTCAGCTCACTGAGATCCTTTCTGATTATGTTTGACTTTCCAAATAAGTTACGTTTACAAAGAGAGATTGCGTTGGCCTTACTCATGGGACTATTCAGCATGTATCTCAGTTACCATCACAAGTAATAGATCCATTTTCTATTTTGCACATTGGTCCCATGAATTCTTCAGTGCTTGGATGATATCTCCCCTGAGGCTGTGTAAGAGGGTGGAATAAATGGCCTCTAGCCATTATAGTTAGCTCAAATTCACATTAAATTTCCTTTATATTTATTAATGAAGATAATCACCACAAACAAGTCAGAAAATGTATTGTTAGTATTTCATTCATTTAGGAATACATCTATAAATAAATACATACATACTTAACCTGGGAAACTATTTGGAAGACTGGTTAATGTGCAAATTAGTATAATATTTACAGTAACCCTTTAATAATGTAACAAATTCTCTTCCTGCCTTGGCACTTATGGACTATTGTATGGAATAATCTAAAGTGAAGTGTTTTGTACCTTTTATAAAATTGCTATTGATAAAGCCAATTTTCATAATGTTATTTAGGTCCCTTGAGCAAGAATCAATGTGATGTTTCCTTTTTTACATTTTAGATGCCATTCTAATTTTTTTCTAAGGGGGAAATGTATTCACTATAAATTAGAAGTCATTGCTACTGCATTTGAGATTGATGTTTACACTTGATGACAGTTTTTGCCTAAGTAACGCATGGCAAAATATATGAAATTGTGTGAATGTTTGACAGATCTCCATTTCTATCCATTTCTACCCTTATGATGAAGGGAAAGAGGGAAGTATTTCAAATGTAAAATGTGTTTGTAGTATAGATACCCAGATTAGCACAGTGACACTGTCTTAATTAACTTCTCCTTTGGGAAGTTTCTTATAGTTATAGGAGTTATTTTAATTTAAATTTTTAATATTAATCAGAAAAATATTCATTGTTAGTATGCAAATATGAAATTAGTATTGATGTTGTCAGTTTTAACTATCAGAAAATACCAGGCATATTTAAAACAGAAGTATTCTTACAGAGCACACTTAACAGAGCTCTACTGAAAAGTTTTCCCATTTTCTTTGTTCCGATTCAGCAAGCTAGTCATGCTAGTTTAGTTTGTAGAAACAATACTTATGACCTGCTAAGTCGCTTCAGTCATGTCCAACTCTTTGTGGCCTCTTGGACTATAGCCCACTGGGTTCCTCTGTCCATGGCATTCTCCAAGCAGTAATACTGGAGTGAGTTGCCTTGTCCTGCACCAGGGGATCTTCCTGACCCAGGGATTGGACCAGTGTCTGCTGTGGCTCCTACATCACAGGCAGATTCTTTATTACTGAGACACTGGGGAAGCCCAGTGGCTCAAAATAGGCATTTCTGATCAGTCCACATGACAAGTCGTGTGTGGGTTCTCCCAGTGGGCAGTTTCCCTTTGTTGATGGTTCAGGGGCCCAGGCTTCTACTCTGTTGTTCTTCCTCCTCTCAACCTCCCATGATTAGCACTTGTGTTAAGAATCAGTTTTGTTGCTGCTCATATGACCTTCATGGGCACTCAGTAAGGGTTTATTCAATGAGTGAGCGTGCCAGTGCATCTTTTAATAACTGTGGTGAAAGGTGTTATGGAAGGTTGCTCTCTTTAAATAGATTTTTTTCCCTTTTATTTCTTCTTTTATCTTCCTCTCCATCCTAGAAGTGGAGACAGTTGGCCTTCTGTATTCCGGGTTCTGCATCCAAAGTTTCAGCATCCAGAGTTTCAGCCAACTTCAGATTGAAACTATTTGGGGAAAAAAAAAATTCCAGAAAGTTTCATAAAACAAAACTTGCACCAGCAACTATTAGATAGTATTTACATTGTATTTATGACTATTTACGTGACATTTTGGTCACCTGATGAGAAGAGTTGACTCATTTGTAAAGACCCTGATGCTGGGAAAGATTGAAGGCCGGAGGAGAAGGGGACAACAGAGGATGAGATGGTTGGATGGCATCACTGACTCAATAGACATGAGCTTGAGTAAACTCTGGGAGTTGGTGATGGACAGGGAGGCCTGGCTACTGGCTGCTGCGGTTCACGGGGTCGCAAAGAGTCAGACACGACTGAGCGACTGGGCGACTGAACTGAACTGACTGATGTAACATTTACATTGTATTGGCTCCCCTAGTGGCTCAGATGGTAAATGATCTGCCTGCAATGCAGGAGACTTGGATTCAATCCCTGGATGGGGAAGATCCCCTAGAAAAGGGAATGGCTATCCACTCCGGTATTCTTGCCTGGAGAATCCATGGACAAAGGAACCTGGTGGGCTACAGTCCACAGGGTTGCAAAGAGTCTGACCTGACTGAGTGACTAACACTTCCACTTTACGTTGTATTAGATCTTAGATGTAATCTTGACATTAAAATGTACAGGGATTGTATGTAGATTATATGCAAATACTACACCATTTTATTTATGTCTCTTGAGCATCCTCAGATTTTGGTATCTTTGGGAGTCTTGGAACCATTCCCCCTGGATATGGAGGAACAATTTTATATAAATTGAGACCTGCTAAAAATTGGCAATTACACATACTTTGCCAATTACACGTACACTTTCATGGAGCTTTTTTCCCAGACCAAGGAAAGAGAGGAGGAGGAGGAAAATGACTATTAGGAACATTCATGTCATGAGTGAGTTTGAAATCATCTCCTTTTTAGAGAACAAAGATAACATTCATTATATATGCTGTGTATGCACATATATGTAAAATAACTAAAGAAGACATGGGATCTCTTAAGAGGAGCTGTACTTATACTCACCTGGAGGAGACTGGGAGGGAAGGATACCTAAGCTTAAACTATTTGAACTTTTATCCTGTTTGTATATTGCATCTTGAAATAAAAACAGGAGGAAAAAGACTTAATACGTGAAAGTTTCTGTTAAGTAATCAGACATTGTTTTCTCCATTTTTCCTGATTTAGGGTTCCAACATTACTGATACCTGTACAGAAATGCTAATGTGTGGAGTCTTACTGAAAATTTCTTCTGGAAATATTCAAGAGCGGGTATTTTTTCTTTTTGATAATCTTTTGGTGTATTGCAAAAGAAAACACAGGTAAGAACATAGACAGGGAATACTTTAAAAACTGTTTATCCAATTCACAGATTCAGCTTTTTCTCTGTGCTTCCATGACCTCATCAGTAAACTTCCATGTATTCTCAGCCCCTTCTCCTTGCTACTTTAAGAAAGAGAACATGTTAGGATTAGAGCCAGGAAGTAATTAAATTATTGTCTGTCTATCTTAACGAGCTTTTCAAAAAATTCCTTTTTACCACCTGTGAAAATGAACCTATTTATTTCTTGTAGTATGCTCTTCTCAATTTTTTGTGTTTAGCAGCAAGATTGGGATTAGTAGACATGGGTTTCAGGAAAATCTAGAAGAGGCTGTTAATTCTACCTGTATGAAGCTCTTTAAAAATTGTAAGGTCATATGGACACCAAGAAGAGAAAGGGGTGGCGGGATGGATTGGGAAATTGGAATTGACATATATACACTATTGATACTATGTATAAATAGATAACTAATGAAACTGACTGTTTAGCATGGGGAACTTTACTCAATGCTCTGTGGCGACCTAAATGGGAAGGAAATCCAAGATGAGGGGATATATGTGTACATTTAATTGACACACTTTGTTGTATAGTAGAAACTAACACAACATTGTAAAACCACTGTACTCCAAGAAAAATTTTTAAAAAATGCTTATTCTCTGCCAGGCATAGTCTTAAAGAATCACATGAATTAATTATATAATATTCCCAATAAATTTATAAAATAGGTATTTTCACTATCATCATTTTGTGGAGAAGGATATTGAGTCACAGAGAGGTTAAGTAACTTTCCCATACATAATAGTTACAGAAATGAATTTTGGACCCATTTAGTTCTAATTCAAAGCCCATCTTTATTGCAGATTGTGATAAAATGTGTATGCCTCATGAAAGATGACAAAAAATAAAAGAGGAACACTTTAAGATAAAGGGATGAATAAAAAAATCATAAGGTGATTCAAGTTGTTTAGGTGCAATTATTTTTTCTCCAACTTTAGCCAGGTATTATTGACAAAGTTATAAGACATTTAAAGTGTACAATGTGATGATTTAATATAATACACATTGTGAAAGGATTCTCCCACTAAATTAACACATCCATCTAGGTTTGATTATTAAAGACATCTGTTTGAGAATGAGATCTTTTTTTATTAGAGTTGTTCTCATCCTTATATATATGACTGGTCTCAAGGTCAAAGCTTTTGCAAAATTTACTGTACAAATGATGTTACCGTTCATGGTCTCATGGCTGTAACTGTTAAATAAATGATAGGGAAAGTTTTATAAAATCAAAATACTGCTGCTTGGCAAGTAGCCTTAATGTATATATAACATGGACCAAATACATATAAATGCAGAGGAGAAGAGGGGAGAGAGCTTTGCATTAATGCACTTGACAACTTAACTTTTGCTTAGTGTGTATATGTAACACCATACATTAATAATTTAAGTATATATTATGAAATATATATTAATAATTTTAGTATATTCAGTTGTTAGCAGACTTTTGTCAACAAGTCAAATTAAATAGTTCAGATCAATTGAAGTTTCTTGGATGACTAAATGTTGCTTAATCTTCTTGAATTATTTCTTAAAATCTTTCCTCTTTAATATATTTTAAAAGCAATCTCCCCTGAGTATTCAGTGATTCAAGTATAAATATATCCATAACTGCCTAATTCATTATTTCAAATGCTTATCTGAACCTGAATTTTTTTTTTTTACTTTGTGTTGCTCAGTTTTTAAGATCAAAGGCTGGTACTAGTGTACTATACAAAAAGTTTTGAAATGTTCTGGGCTATTTTATAAATAAATAGGATCCTTATGAAGGATTTTAGCTGTATTTGAGAGACTTATTCTTCAAGTGTACAGTTATCATATTACAACAATTTGGGAAAAATATTTTAGAGCTAGTTAATGGTTAATAACCTCCAGCACAGTTCAAGTCTCTTTGAAGAGGATCATAAGTATTAACTGAATTTTATCAGAGATTGAGAAAAAATTACCAGCTAGTTACTGAAAATTGAGAAATGAAGTGAAATTGTGAATAACCAACTTAGAGTGTCTGTCTGAGTTTGATTGGGGGTCTTTGATGTCATGTACTGAGCAAAAGCATGTGTTCACCCTCTCACCTGTGTGTTGTCCTTGGCTCAGGGCTTCAGTGTCTAGCACTGTCTTATAGAGCAACCTGAGCCGTTATGAATGCCAGGACACAAGTTAAAAAACACCAAGAGCTTAACGTTTGATATTGTTGACAGAACTAGCATCTCTTTTTCAAAGAATGGCTTAAATTATCTTGCTTTAACAAGATTTTGCCTTAAGTTTAGTAACCACGTATTTTGTGTGTGTGTGATTTTCTTCTGTTGTTGTAAGACGGTTGAAAAATAGCAAAGCATCTACTGATGGACATCGGTACCTTTTTCGTGGCCGGATCAATACAGAGGTGATGGAAGTGGAGAATGTGGATGATGGCACAGGTAAATGATTGGTAAATTTAAAATGGAGTGCCAATAATAAACTCCCTTATAAGATAGACTTTTCACTTGAATAATTCGTCTGCAGTGAATTTGAGCTTAGAAATACTTTGTTAGGCAGAACAGTTGGAGGAGGGAGGGAAGATAAGAGAGAGGAGGACTCTTTTAAAATGGAAAATTATCTTCACCTGAACCATGTTAGTTTGTTGTTGTTCAGTTGCTAAGTTGTGTCTGACTCTTTGTGATCCCATGGACTGCAAGGATGCCAGGCTCTTCTGTCTTCCACTATCTCCTGGAGTTAGCTTAAATTCATGTCTGTTGAGTTGGTGATGCTATCTAACCACATCATCCTCTGCTGCTCCTTTCTCCTTTTGTCTTCCATCTTTTGCTAAGTCATGTCTGACTCGTGTGACCCCGTGGACTGTAGCCTGACAGGCTCTGTCCATGAGATTTCCCAGGCAAGAATACTGAGACCCAGAGATTGAACCATGTCTCCTGCATTGGCAGGTGAATTCTTTACCACTGAGCCACAAGGGAAGCCCAAACCATGTTAAACACTAACATTAAACACAGAGATACAAAAGTAGCTGGGAGTGTCATAAACTAGTAGTTGTGTCCATAATGTATATTGTAGTTTGATCATGATGCTATTAAAACATCCAGCTTAGGAGCTATCATAGGAAAGCATTGGACCTCCTGGAATTAATTTTCACTGGTACAGGCTTGGAAAGCCATTCAAAAAGTAGTGCCAGATCCTTTGTGTTCTTTCCTGACAACTAGTTTATTTGTGTAGTTGGCCAGAGGCCAAGAATGTTTGACTTCTAGAAAATGTGGTCTGTAGTGCAGTGTTGGGCAAACCATAGGTTGCAGAACAGTAGTCAGATTGAATTGAATAAGATGAAAATTCTTAAACTGTTCATTAAAAGTGAGTGAAAAGAAAAATGACATGAAATGTTAGTCACTCAATTGTGTCTGACTCTTTGCAACCCTGTATATTGTCAATCCCTTGCTGACCCAGGGATTGAACCTGGGTCTCCCACATTGCAGGCAGATTCTTTACCGTCTGAGGTACCAGGAGTCCCCTAAAACTGAATAGATTTTTTTTAAAAAGTTCAACTGTTAATGTTGTGAGTTAGGGATGTTGTGTTTTTTAGGTCTGACAGCATTTAATATATAAAAGTTTCTTTATTTTTAAAAATTTTATGTTCTTCAATACACATGTATAAAGATATTTTGAAGAATTCAGTGGTTTTGGAGCTTTCTTGATAATAAATGGTTGTGTTGCTCTAATATATATTACATTTGTTCTTTCACTTTACTTATTAATTTTCAGCTGACTTCCATAGCAGTGGACACATTGTTGTTAATGGATGGAAGATACATAACACAGCCAAAAATAAATGGTTTGTGTGTATGGCAAAAACACCTGAAGAGAAACATGAATGGTTTGAAGCTATTTTGAAAGAACGAGAACGGCGGAAAGGTGCGTATATGGATTGAGCATTATAATACTTTGTGAAGATTCGAATTTAACAAGAAAGCAGAAAATTGGAGTTATGAGGAAAAGTTATGAGGAAGTAGATGGTGTTTGACATTCACTTACTTTAACTAGGTGATGTTAACCCATGCTAAAATACTTTTTGAATATTTCCGATGTTGTTACTGAAATCAAGTAAAAGAACCTTATATAGTTAGCAAAATAATTAGATTGTGGCTAGCAGTGTGTTTTAAACAGTGTCTTCATTCTTTTGAGACTGCTGTAACAGAATACCCTACACTGGGTGGCTTATGAACAACAGAAGTTTATTTCTCACAGTTCTGAAGGCTGGGAAGACCAAGGCTCAGTATATGATGAGGGCTGTTTCCTGGTTCGTAGATGACCACTTTCTCTGTGTCCTCACCTAGCAGAAGGCATGAAAGTGTTCTCTTAGATCTCCTTAATAAGGGCATTAATCTCTTTCATGAGGACTCCACCCTCATGAACTAATTACCCCAAAGATCAACCTCCTAATGCCATTACATTGGGAACTAGGTTTCAACATATGAATTTTGGGGGCATGCATGCTTAATTGTTCAGCCGTGTCTGACTCTTTGTGACCCTTTGGACTGTAGCCCACCAGGCTCCTCCATGGAATTTTTCAGGCAAGAATAGTGGAATGGGTTGCCATTTCCTCCTTCAGGGGATCTTCCCAACCCAGGGATTGAACCTGTGTCTCCTCTGTCTCCTGGATTGCAGGAGGATTCTTTACCTGCTGAGTTACTGGGGACACCATTTGGGGGCATACAGACATTCACTTTACAGCAAATAGTTTTACTTGCTTTAAAATTTGTTCAGTTCTCTTTGCACTTTATTACTTTTTTAAAGTTTTTACTGGAGTGGCTTTAGAATGTTGTGCTCATTTCTTCTGTACTACAAAGTGAATCAGCTCTACTGTATGGATATCTGCTCAGTTTTGGATTTCCTTCCCCTGTAGGTCACCACAGAATGCTGAGTAGAGTTCCCTGAGCTATTCAGTAGGTTCTCATTAGTTATATATTTTATACATCATATCAATAGTGGATATACGTCAATCCCAATCTCCAGTTCATCGCTCCTCCACCTTTCCCCTTTGGTATCCATATGTCTGTTCTCTACATCTGTGTCTCTGTTTCTGCTTTGCAAACAAGATCATCTATACTGTTTTTCTAGATTCCACATATATGGATTAATATATGGTCACACTTTATTCTTGCTCATTTCTAAAGAATCATTATAGAGTTTTGCTTTAAGAAACAAGCTTTAATAATATAATTCAGTATTTGGAGCCCTACACCAATTGTCCCCCTGTCTCTAACAGTACACTTAAGGTTCCTTGGTCAAATATTTTAGTATCCTAATTATAAAATAAGGCATTTTGCATGCATATTAACTTTTAAGTGTTGTTGCAGTGTCATTGAATCAATTTCATGTAACTCCATAAGGAAATTATTCACATGGGGAGGTCTAGCTCAAATTTGCTTCATGTTTTTGTCAAGATTTGCAAACAGTATTTGGTCTGGTGATATTCAGTGTGTGAAGTTTACCTGCAACTATTCCTATTTCTGTAATTCAGCCAGGAAATAGAATTAGAAATGTTTGCATAATTAATTATTTTCTTTATCAAATAATTGATGAGAAATGTGACAGTGTTTATTCCTTTTCCCAGAGATTTAGGTAAAAAATATCTCATTAATGATAAAATTCTAGAACATAAAAGAGCCTTTCCTTCCATCTTTAGATATTTCCCCGTGAAGAATGTAAAAATTTCTACTACCTTGATTAGATTAGTCATAGTATACATTTTTATAAGAATTTCTAAAACATTTAAAAATACTCCTTTGATTGATCTTAGATGAAGAACCAGACAGAAAAACTTTAAAACAAAGATCATGAATGCATAACTGACACTTTGGGTTTTGTTGAATCTAACAGTCCATTCAAGGAACATAGCAAATCATTTAAAAGATAGAGTCAATTTTTCATCAAGTTGAACCTTAGCTTTTTTTTTTGAACTGATTATGCATATAAATGGACCTTTTAGGTCCAAGACCTAAAAAGGGAAGAAAACAAAAAACAAAGCAGTCTATAACTCTACCTATATTATTCTTAACTCTGCTTTTTAACTTCTATAACTCAGCTTATTCTATTCTTAATGGATTATTCACTGCTATTGGCAAATGTTAATGACTTCTCCATTGTAAATAAAATTTTAGTAAGAAGTTTAGTAGTTAGAAGACTAAAAAAAAAAATTAAAGAAATTCTTCTGCCACATTTCTTCATCAGTCCCATCCACTGGTTGTCCGTGTGGCCAGAATTGTACCTTTGGCAATGGTCACCTCTAAATTTCCTGGCCTGCATTGTCTATCCCTGTCAGATGAACTTCTACTCTGCACTGCCAGGTTCTGTCTTTATGTCCAGTCTTCTTGTCTCTTTGGAGCTCCATGCTCACTTTCTCAGTTGCCCCTTGGGCTTCATGTGAACATCCAAGCTCAAGCTAGTCAGTACTGGTTTTCTCTGTACCTGAAACCCTTTGCCCAAGATGCCTTCCCATCACCCTTCAGTTCTCCCATCAACTGTCTGGAAGCCATCCTGATT